CTCTCTCTCTCTCTCTCTCTCTCTCTCTCTCACTCACAAATATAGCTTTTGTCACCTCATGTATGTTAAAAATAAGATAGAAGAGTCGATGACTATATAGAACCAAGCCATATATAATATATATATATATATATATATATATATATATATAAAAATATATATATATATATATATGTTTTGTATATATATATATATATATATAATATATATATATATATATATATATATATATATATATATATTAAAATATATATATAATATATAATATGAGATATAAGCGACTATTGGCAGAAAGGTGGCTAGTGCAAAGATGAGTAGTGGGGGGGTTGAAGAGGGTTGGAATAGTTTTAAAAATGCAGTATTAGAATGTGGGGCAGAAGTTTGTGGTTATAGGAGGGTGGGGCAGGAGGAAAGAGGAGTGATTGGTGGAATGATGAAGTAAAGGGTGTGATAAAAGAGAAAAAGGTAGCTTATGAGAGGTTTTTTACAAAGCAGAAGTGTTATAAGAAGAGCAGAGTATATGGAGAGTAAAAGAAAGGTAAAGAGAGTGGTGAGAGAGTGCAAAAGGAGAGCAGATGATAGAGTGGGAGAGGCACTGTCAAAAAATTTTAATGAAAAAAAGAAAAAATTTTGGGGAGTTAAACAATTTTAAAGAAAGCCAGGGAAAATATGATTGCAGTTAAAACAGAGTGGGGGATTTAGTAATGGGGAATTGGAGGTATTAGGTAGATGGCGAGAATTTTAGGAATTTTTAAATTTAAGGAAGAAACAGAGGCATAATTTCATGCACTTCAGGAGGTATACCATCTTTAGAGTGAAGAAGACAAAAAGTAAGGTGGGGGATGTACGTGAGGCTTTACGAAAAATGAAAGGGGAAAAGCGCGGGAACGAGGGGATCATACAAAATGTTAAAAGCAGGGGGGGAAAAGTGTTGGAGTGGTTGGTACTTTTGTTAATAAATGATGAAAAGGGAAGGTAAACCCAGGGGTTGGCAAGAGCATGTAATCCCTTTTTATAAAGGGAAAGGGGACAAAAAGACGAAAAATTATAGAGAATAAGCTTACTGAGTATCCAGAAAAGGTACGGTAGGTTATAATTGAAAGAATTTGAGGGAAGACAAAAGTAGGATTGCGGAAGAGCAAGGAGGTTTTTGAGTGGGGAGGGATGTGTGACAGGGGTTTTTATTGAAGCAATTGTGAACATATTTTGATAAAGAAGGGAATTTTTTATTGCTTTAAGATTTAGAAAAGGCATTGATAGAGGGAAGAGGAGCAAAGTGGCAGATGTTGCAAGTAAAAAGGAAAGGGGGTAATTATTTAAAACTGTAAAGGTTTTTTTTAGGTATAGCTCGGGTTAGGGGTTTAGAAAGAGGAGACACTTCCCGGAAAAGAGGTTTTTAAAAAGGGGTGTTAATGTCACCAGGTTTTTAATATATTTATAGATGGGGTTGTAAAGGGAAGTAAATGCAGGGGGGTTTGGGAAGGGTGGGGTTAAAAATTATGGGAACAAAATTTAAAAGGGAAATTGCACGTTTCTTTTTTTCTGAAACGTGCTTTTGGGAGATTCAAAGAAAAATTGCAAAGGTTAGTGGATGAGTTTGGGAATGTGTGTAAAGGTAGAAAGTTGAAAGTGAACATAGAAAAGAGAAAGGGTGATGGGGGTGTAAAATGATTTAGAAAAAGAAAAATTGGATATCAAATTGGGGAGGAGGAGTATGGAAAAGTGAATGTTTTCAGATACTTGGGAGTTGACGTGTCGGCGGAGGGATTTATAAAGGATGAGGTTAATCATAGAATTGATGAGGGAAAAAAGGTGAGTGGTGCGTTGAGGTATATGGGGAGTCAAAAAACGTTATCTATGGAGGCAAAGGGGGAAAATGTATGAAAGTATAGATAGTAACCAACACTCTTATATGGGTGGAACTTGGGTGGTAAATGCAGCAGCGAGGAGAGGGTTTGGGAGGAAAGCGGAGATGTTCCTGTTTAAGGGCAATTGTGTGTAAATATTATGCAGAAAAATTCGGAGTGTGGAAATAGGAGAAGGTGTGAGTTAATAAAAGTTTTATTTCAGAGGGCAGAAGAGGGTTTTGGGGTGGTTTGGTCATTTAGAGAGAAGGGATCACAGTAAATGACATGGAAAGCATATAAATCTATGGGGGAAGGAAGGGGGGGTAGGGCGTCCTCAAAAGGGGTTGGAGAGGGGGGGTAAAGGAGGTTTTGGGGGTAAGGGCTTGGACTTCCACCCAAGCGTGCGTGAGCGTGTTAGATGGGAGTGAAGGGAGACGAATGGTACTTGGACCTACGATCTGTTGGAGTGTGAGCAGGGTAATATTATAGTGAAGGGATTCAGGGAAACCGTTTTTTTTCATATAGTCGGACTTGAGTCCTGGAAATGGGAAGTACAATGCCTGCACTTTAAAGGGGTTGGGAATTGGCATTTTTGGAGGATATTTGTGTATCTTTATATGTTTAAGCTTCTAGACTGTTGTATTCTGAGCACCTCTGAAAAAACAGTGATAATGTGCGAGTGTGGTGAAAGTGTTGAATGATGATGAAAGTATTTTCTTTTTGGGGATTTCTTTCTTTTTTGGGTCACCCTGCCTCGGTGGAGACGGCCGACTTGTTGAAAAAAAAAAAAAAAAAAAAAAAAAAAAAAAAATATATATATAATTATATATAAAATATAAATATATATATATATATATAAAATGCAATAAGATCACAGTAAATAGGTGATTTCAGAACATGCAAAACAACCACTGTGAAAGAATAGAGAAGTTCCAAGCGCTTTCGTGACTACTCACATTATCAAGAACAATGAAAGTAAAGCATCAAAGGAAGGTATATAAAGGGTAGCCCACACCTCCTATCAGATCCCACAACAACGAAACACCTGACGCGAGACAGCAGCCCGCGCCGAACTAGACAGGTCCTTCATACAACCCACCAACAAACTATTCTACCCAAGAAATAAAAAATTAAAAAATTATTATTTGTCCAAATGTATTATTAAATTTTTCCCAAATTCTATTAATTATAAAGGATCAAATTTATATAAACCAAAGGAAATATTCAAATTATTGTCAAAACTGCTTTTTATGAACAAGATTCAATTATATTCCTGTCGACCATGGACTTGCTTGATACTACTTTCTCAACTTTTGAAAATCAATTGATGGTTAAAATCTCTTACATGAATAAACAGAGCATTGAATTTGTCCAGTTCTAATGCTATATTTATGTTGTTTTAATCTTAGTTCGAGATTTTTACCAGTTTGACCGTAATAAACTTTATCGCAAATTTTACAAGGAATCTTATAGACACATACATCAGCATTTTGGGGGGAATTCTTTATCAAAATTTTTTTTACTGTATCAAGATTTTTGAATACAACTTTAATATTAAAAGTCTTAATAAGAGAAGGCATATCAACCAAGTTTTCATGGTAAGGGAGAACCAACATATATTTAGTTGATAAGGCTGGTTGTCCTTTTTGGATTGCAAAATGTATTTCTAGCAACTTTAAAAGATTTATCAATTACATTTCTTGGGTATTTCAAATCATTACCTATTCCTTGATAATGTGAGTAGTCGCGAAAGCGCTTGTAACTTCTCTCTTCTTTCACAGTGGTTGTTTTGCATATATATAATATATAATATATATATATATATAATATATATATATAAATATATATATATATATATATATATATATATATATAATATAGTATATATATATATATATATATGGCTATTATTAAAAACCACAGGGTTTTTTAATAACAGCTCTAGGCCCTTCGTATTGGAATCAGCACATCATCAGGAGCTTGCAATGTTGCATAAATGAGCAGGAAGTCGAAGCAGATTCGTTTAAGGGAAGGTTTTTTCTGGAACAAAAGCGAGATATAAGAAGAGTGTTGAGCTGTGGTCATCAGTGATCATCAAGGTGTCAGAGGGAGAGTGTCACCATGGCAATGTGGATCATTTTCAAGTCCTTCTCTGGTCTTCGGTCACCACTCACCTTGTGAGTATACATACAACATATTTTGGTTGTACTGTAACTATATATCATCTATAATTTATGTTGCCTCTGTCAGAATTTGTGTGAAAGTGTTATTTTACCATCGTCGAGGGGCTTAATTCTGGGTCGCAAATGGCTAACCGACTTTATTTTCTTATAAATGTTGCTTATACCAGACGAGTAATTTTGAATTATGTGCTTACTGTGGATTCTCTGGTTATTAATACGTTTATGTATTTTGTACACACCAATGGTATAGCATTTTTTTAGGGGAGGAACAGGACAATTTTTAGTTTCGTTAGGTAACTAGGCTGACATCTTCGAAATTATGGAGTCAAATTTATAATGTTATTGTAACCAGAAAACTGTTCATCATTCGAGAAATAATATGTATATATGTTTGTTACATGTATTCCATCAGTTCATAAATTAATGCATTGCAGTTTTTAAAAACGGAATAAATGTGGAGTGATATTTTCTCTATGTTCAGTTAGTTCTTTCATGGCGGTGCCTTGAGGCTGGTGTAGGGCACTTGATCCAAGGAACTGGAGCTACCCTCTCCATCCTCAAATTGAACCTGATTGCCTTCGATGTCTGAGGCACTGCATAACCTTTGTGGGTTCAGAGCTTCCCCTTTGAATTTAATAATAATAATTATGTCTGCTTTGGAATTCCTAATATTTATATTTTTTTCAGACTATGACTAAAATTTTATAATTATGGTCATCAAAGCTGCTATATTTGTCAAGTATTCATTTATTTAGCTTTAATAAGACATTTATCTTACACATTGGATATTTTAATAGTTAGTTCATAATAGACTTTACTTACAATGGCTTCAATTTTTTGTAATTTCCATATATTTTATTCAGAAAATTTATTTTAAGAGTAAAGGTTCTTTTTAATTTTAAATATTAAGTAATCATATTAAGCATTTTATGGTGGAAATTATATGTATCGGTCTTATTAAATTCATTAGAAGGTTGGGCCCGAAGAAGGGGAGAGTAGCTCCATCTCTTTGGATCAAGAGCCCTTCAGCATCAAGGCGACCTCATCTAAGAGCGCAGTGTCGGATATAATTTGACATTTTTTGGTCCTGCTGTCAATATTATAATGTAAATATTTTTATTAAGTTTTCAGTTCGATATAATAATGCCAGTATAATTAATCATACTTGGCTGCCTGTATTATAATGATGGATACACAGTATTTAGCATAATTTTTCGCACTTCAACAATTTATTAATATCGTTTATTATAATTCTTTAATTCTGGTATATAATATTAATTTCATATTGTCACGAATATTTATAGGGAAGTGTAAGACTCGCAGAGGCCATTCTGATCCTGGGAGGGGTAGATAATCAAGTTTGATTCTGTGAAGTAGTGTAGCTCCATTTCCTTGGATCACGAGCTTTTCACCGACATCACCCCCCCCCCCAAGGGAGTTCACTAAGTAACATTGATTTCAATGCTAATTTAGCCGACCAGTTAATGCTGATTAACTTATGAAGGCTCCATTGGCTATTTTAGGAAGATTTTATTATAGAATTTGGAGTTAGATATACTGAGTGATTAAGCTAAGTGCTTATTATTTAGTAATAAATATTTTAATCTCTTGTTGGGTTTTCAATTGAATTATTATTTAATACTTTCCCAGTTTTAGGAGTGGCGGTGTAGGAGGTAGCAGCTGTCGCAGCAGTTATTATCATTACTATAAATGTGTAAAAATAAAATCTTTCAGAATTATATTTATTTGTTCATGGTTATTGCCCACAGTGTTGGAATTTTGTTTAAAAATAAATTAGAAAGTTTTCCGGAAAGTTAGGTTAGTTAAGGTGCTAAAGGCTAAGTTAGATTACAATAGGCTAGGTTAGAGTTGCTTAAGCAATATATTGAATTGAAAATGACTAAAATAACATCAGGTTCAATTACTAGGAGACTTATATACAAGAAATGTAAATTATTTTATAATGCAAGATCTATTCTAACTTGGCATCTAGCATTCTTCCTTTTCCATAACGGGCGATAAGGGTATATGATACAGCTAGATAAGGTTAGGTTAGGTTAAGCTAAAGATTAGGTTAGATTAGGCGCCTATTTATTAGGCTGTCTGTTATAAACATGAAGTCATGTACTTGTGGAACAAGAAGTAATCAGATTTGATGCTAAGCAGTAGAGGGTAGCTCCAACACCTCTGATAAAGAGCCCTTCACCAGCAGCGCCCTCACAGCTTATAGGTTAATATTAAAAAATAATAATAAAGCAATAGTATAATTATACTATGAAATTGATTCATGCTAAGTAAAAACATTTATGTATTTTCATCTCGTAAAATAAATATAATTTCATTGGTGTATTTAACATTGTGTCTCCATCCATGAGATGGGTGATGAAGCTGGGTGATGTAGCTGGATCAGGAGTTGGCGCTGGTGGCGGCACTGGTGGCGCTGTGAGAGATGCCGGTGGGGCCATGGGTAAGAGAGGTGTCGTCATGGAAGAACAGTATTTTAGGAAGAAGGTGAGTGGGTGGCACTGACTGATTAATCAATTATTGGTGACTCAGTGGAGGTGGGTGGAGTGAGTGGTAGGACGTTACACTGACGGTGTGAGTGTATTAGTGGGAGTAGTAGGACGTTACACTGACGGTGTAAGTGTATTACTGGGAGTAGAAGGACGTTACACTGACGGTGTGAGTGTATTACTGGGAGTAGAAGGACGTTACACTGACGGTGTGAGTGTATTACTGGGAGTAGAAGGACGTTACACTGACGGTGTGAGTGTATTACTGGGAGTAGAAGGACGTTACACTGACGGTGTGAGTGTATTAGTGTGAGTAGTAGGACGTTACACTTGACGGTGTCAGTGTATTAGTGTGAGTAGTAGGACGTTACACTTGACGGTGTCAGTGTATTAGTGTGAGTAGTAGGACGTTACACTTGACGGTGTCAGTGTATTAGTGTGAGTAGTAGGACGTTACACTTGACGGTGTCAGTGTATTAGTGTGAGTAGTAGGACGTTACACTGATGGTGTCAGTGTATTAGTGTGAGTAGTAGGACGTTACACTTGACGGTGTCAGTGTATTAGTGTGAGTAGTAGGACGTTACACTGACGGTGTCAGTGTAATAGTGTGAGTAGTAGGACGTTACACTGATGGTGTCTGTCAGTGTATTAGTGTGAGTAGTAGGATGTTACACTGACGGTGTGAGTATTAGTGTGAGTAGTAGGACGTTACACTTGACGGTGCGAGTATTAGTGTGAGTAGTAGGACGTTACACTTGACGGTGTCAGTGTATTAGTGTGAATAGTAGGACGTTACACTTGACGGTGTCAGTGTATTAGTGTGAGTAGTAGGACGTTACACTGATGGTGTCAGTGTATTAGTGTGAGTAGTAGGACGTTACACTGATGGTGTCAGTGTATTAGTGTGAGTAGTAAGACGTTACACTGACGGTGTCAGTGTATTAGTGTGAGTAGTAGGACGTTACACTTGACGGTGTCAGTGTATTAGTGTGAGTAGTAGGACGTTACACTTGACGGTGTCAGTGTATTAGTGTGAGTAGTAGGACGTTACACTTGACGGTGTCAGTGTATTAGTGTGAGTAGTAGGACGTTACACTGATGGTGTCAGTGTATTAGTGTGAGTAGTAGGACGTTACACTTGACGGTGTCAGTGTATTAGTGTGAGTAGTAGGACGTTACACTGACGGTGTCAGTGTAATAGTGTGAGTAGTAGGACGTTACACTGATGGTGTCTGTCAGTGTATTAGTGTGAGTAGTAGGATGTTACACTGACGGTGTGAGTATTAGTGTGAGTAGTAGGACGTTACACTTGACGGTGCGAGTATTAGTGTGAGTAGTAGGACGTTACACTTGACGGTGTCAGTGTATTAGTGTGAATAGTAGGACGTTACACTTGACGGTGTCAGTGTATTAGTGTGAGTAGTAGGACGTTACACTGATGGTGTCAGTGTATTAGTGTGAGTAGTAGGACGTTACACTGATGGTGTCAGTGTATTAGTGTGAGTAGTAAGACGTTACACTGACGGTGTCAGTGTATTAGTGTGAGTAGTAGGACGTTACACTTGACGGTGTCAGTGTATTAGTGTGAGTAGTAGGACGTTACACTTGACGGTGTCAGTGTATTAGTGTGAGTAGTAGGACGTTACACTGACGGTGCCAGTGTATTAGTGTGAGTAGTAGGACGTTACACTGATGGTGTCTGTCAGTGTATTAGTGTGAGTAGTAGGACGTTACACTGACGGTGTGAGTATTAGTGTGAGTAGTAGGACGTTGCACTTGACGGTGCGAGTATTAGTGTGAGTAGTAGGACGTTACACTTGACGGTGTCAGTGTATTAGTGTGAGTAGTAGGACGTTACACTTGACGGTGTCAGTGTATTAGTGTGAGTAGTAGGACGTTACACTTGACGGTGTCAGTGTATTAGTGTGAGTAGTAGGACGTTACACTGATGGTGTCAGTGTATTAGTGTGAGTAGTAGGACGTTACACTGATGGTGTCAGTGTATTAGTGTGAGTAGTAAGACGTTACACTGACGGTGTCAGTGTATTAGTGTGAGTAGTAAGACGTTACACTGACGGTGTCAGTATATTAGTGGGAGTAGTAGGACGTTACACTGACGGTATGAGTGTTACTCTTCAGATGGTAGTGTCTCTAAATCTGGAATTACTGTGTCCCCTCAAGGGGACGCGTGCTAACCATCTTCGGATCAAACTTGAGTGCCTCCCATTCCCAGGGGCTGGATGACCCCTACGGTTTTAGCGCTCCTTGTGAATATAATAATAGTGGGTGTGTGCGTGTATAGAAGAATAAAAAGGCACATTACCGTGGTTTTCAATTCATAATTTATCCACATTTGGGTTTAGCGCTTCTCCGTGACAAGTGTTTGAATGTTTCTATATTTTTTTCTGATGGCTCTACGCTGGTGCTACATTATTTAAGCATCGGCCATACATACATGATCATTAGCTCTGAAGGATCCCTCGTTAAGGTTTATAAAGGCCGTTCTTTTAATATGTGCCTTTGGAGGTTCAGCTTAGTTCTTAGGCCTTGCCTATTCACTTCAATTAACTAGCGTAGCTTTCTTTCTCCCTAACCTATTTGTTGAGCTCGGTCATCTCTGTTGTTGAATCCATGTATTAAAATGCGTGGATGTGTGTATGTATCTGATTTAAGTATACGAGTGCTTGTGAGCGAACCTTACCAAAATATTTTTCTTTTTCCTTCTCATATCTGGCGCACTGAACTCCAGAGAGCCTGATACAATTTGCTCTCTCAAAAAAAGAAGCCCTGCTCTGATACATAACCTAATTAACACTTGTCTCTGGCTTCTGGCTGTCGCATTTAACAGTGTTACGAGGTTCCACTAGGCTTGTCATAATCGCAGTTTTTTCTTCACTATATTTGAATTTTCTACTTCGAATATTTTATCTTCCTATGCAGTGCTTTGTCGTTTCTTGCATATCTCCATCCTGTTCCTCCATTCGTTCTTATTTCCCCAATTTATTTTCTTTCTTCCTTAAACTTTTCTTGCTGTCCTAATTCACCTAATTTTCTTAATTCCAAACTCTTCCTCCTCCCTGCTTCTTTCATCTCTTCTTTCCCCACACACCCTGACGTCTTAAAGCCTCTCTCCCCACTACTCACTTCAGACTCCTGCCGCTCCCTCTTCCACCCCGACACACTCTCCAACCCCACCTTACCCCTCCATCACCCACTCTCCACCAAACACCCACCTCTCTCCACCACACTCCCACCTCTCGACCATACTCCCAGTTCCCTTCCATCTTGATCCACCACACACACCCACCCACCCACCTTGCTCTCCCTCCCGCCTCCACACTCCCTTCTGCCCCACCTCCCTCCGCCACACGGTGTCACAGTATTTACCACTCCAGCGGTCAAAGTCAAGCGTCAACTGCATAATTAGCGTTATGCATTTTCCTCAGATTTTTTATGCTCTTCCGACCTGCAGTAACCAACATGATGGTGGAAGTGGTGATGAAGGTGATGGTGGGGTGATGACGACAGTGGTGGTGACCTGGCTCAGACCAGGTCAAACATGTGAATGAGAACTTGTTATTATTATAGTCATGGGGAAGCGCTAAACCCGTAAGGATCCTACAGCTCCTGGGGAACGGGCTGTATTCAAGTTTGATCCAAGGAATTCGAGTGGCCTTCCCCTTCCTCAGATGAAATCTAATTACTTCCCATTTCCCAAGTGCTGTATAATCCTTGCGAGTTTAGCTCTTCCCCTTTAGTAATAAAGAAAATTAATGTACTTACAATAAAGTTAGGCACTTTACTGTATGTGGTTCTTCACACTTCTTATTTCTGTAATATTTCATTTTTGGATCTGGGCTGAGACGGGGCCGCTGGGGCAATGATCCCAGGGACCATCAACATATATCTAACATTATGTGTTGTCCTTCTGGTGTAGGAACAGGAGCAGCTGAAGCAACTACGTGCTAAGCTGAGAGAGAGTAACCACGTGGTAGGAGAGACAGCCCTCAACGCCTACCTGGATAGCATCACCTCCCACGAGGAACACATCAGGGAGCACCAGCAGGAAGCAGCCTTCCATCGCGACATCATACTCACACACCAAGACAAGGTGCAATACCACGAGCAACAGATCGTCAAGCATCAGGACGCCATCAGCACACTCACACGCCAAGATTCACTCACTCGCTGCATCACCCCCATCCGTACATCACCAAGTTGAGTGAAAGAATTCATCGCAATGTTGTTACCACGATTGTAGAACATCAAAAATCCATCATTACACCCCAGGCCATAACCTTTCAAAAGCAGGTGAAGCGTTCTTGCTCTAAGAAATTGAGCTACCCTCTCCTTCATAACAAACATGATTGTCTTCCAGTTCCCATTCAGTGTATAACATTCACTACTTTATCGCTTCTCCATGTTTGTAATAATACTAGATCAGTGACCGCTACCACTGAGTCAAACTTTAGTCACTAAGTAATAAGACGAACAGATTCAGTGAGTTAAGATCAGAATAGTAAATGGTGATAATTATTAAGAAAGTAACCTAATAATTCCAGTACCAGCGCTATCGTGCAGGATTTATACCACCAATATATAGGTAGATATTTATTATATTAATGAAGGTCATACAGCACCTGGGGAATGGGATGTTATCAAGTTTCATCCAAGGAAACAGACGCAGACTTAAAACTCCTTGGATCAAGTCTTTCACCATCATCAAGTCACCACCCTTTGAAGGGATGAAAAATATTAATTGATCTGCCTGTTTTATATATACCTTGTTAGTTTATGTTGTAAAACATTCACTTTTTCTTATCTTCAGATAACAATTTTCAGTATTTGATGAAAAAACGAGAACTCATTAAGGTCGAATGTTTATATTTAACGAACGGAGGTTTATGTAATTTTGAGTTGAATGAAAAAAATTATGTCAATATATCTTGTAGAGTACAAAGCCCCCTGAAGTTATTCAGAAAATTGTACTGCTTTCATAAAGCATTATTTTTCTTTATATTATAATCTTTCTTTAAGCTTCTCGAACTCAAAATCTTGACGTGATTTATGTTGTAATGACTAGTACTCAGAAAAAGTTTATACTTGAATAAATATACATTCTCACAGGGCACTTTCATTTCCGCTTAAATGTATACTGACCTAATGTACCTTTTTTTCTTGATCAGTTGTGACCCAAACATGTGGGTTTAGCACGTTTTTTTGTGAATAAAATAATCTCACCACCACATTCCGCTAAACTTCGCTCTCTGCAAGTGGCTGTAATTGGTCTATACAAATTTGAAAGAATATTTTTAATAATAGATCTTAATTTTTTCTGTATTCGGTGATCAATGATAGGTGTAATTATTATTTTTAATATAACTGGGAGGGAGGATTCATTAAATTAGTATTAGAAGAAATATTGTAATGTTAGTATAATTATTATAAATATTAATAAAGAGTTATTAGCATGGGAAAGCATTTAAACTCGAGTAGAGGCCTCGATCAGATGACTGGGAGCTCCACTGATAGGTAAGACATATGCAACAGTTAGGTATCTTTATTTCGAAACTTTTCGCCTACACAGTAGGCTTCTTCAGTCGAGTACAGAAAAGTTGATAGAAGAGACGTGAAGACGATGTAATCAGTCCATCACCCTTGAAGTTTTGAGGTGGTCAGTCCCTCAGTCTGGAGAAGAGTATTGCTCCATAGTCTGAAACAATATGAAGTAACAGCCTGTCGGTATTTTATACCATTTTAATATTCAGCTTCACTGGTATCAGGGAACACCGGTCCTGCTTCCTGATAAGCCTTATTTCAAAAGAATGATACAGTGTCTAGGGGATGAGTGATAATGATGTTTGATCCGAGGAAGGTGAGGGTAGCCCTAATTCCTTGGCTCGAGTATCACTTGAAGGGATAATTGTAATCAGCTATAGAGACACACAGCGAGTCCCCAGGTACCCTCACATACGGCGGAGGGACTCTTGGGCCCCTTCTCTCCTTTCATTGGTCGAATCTCATTACCCCAACTCTCCCTTTCTTTTTTGGCTTCATTAGTAGGGTTATTTTCCCCTCTTGGGAAATTCGGTTGCTAGACAAAAGTAATCACTATCATTCTTGTTTCAACGTAGCTTCCGTCGGTAGTGTTGTGATTGGATCTGTCTAGACTGAAAATTTAATTATCTTAGGGCATATCAGATGACCCACTGGTGAGATACCAGGTGACCATCTGGCAGTACCTTGATGACGGAAGTACTACTGAAGGTTGCCTGCAGATTCAGAAGTGGCAACTGAAAGTGAATAACTTCAGAGGCATTCCTTCGCCCTCTACCACTGTAAGCTTATTGCACAGTTATATTTCAGGTTCAGTGCAAACTCATTATGTTATACTGGTGTCAACGTTGCTGTATGGTATGTGTATTGTGTTACGTGTCTGTTGTAATTTTTTTTTCATAGTGTTTCATATTGGTTGAATTGTGTTGTGAGTGGAAGATTCCATACTGTTGAGATAAGCTTTTATTACAATATTTTTTTTAAGTTTCAACGTAATTGAAATCTCATGTAAGTCTTGTGTATATTAAAGCTTTAACTAGATTCTTTTTAACATAACTACATACCTTCTAAAAATATATAAAGATGTGTAACCAGAGCCGTGTCAACACTTGTTTGGAAATAGTCTCTTTATCAGGTTATCCTAGGCTAAATTCCACATAATTTACTATACACTGAAAACGTTTAATAAAATTGTTAACATACTGGGTATATATGATAACATTTAAACCATAATGTCTAGTGCAAATAGTATGAAGTTCGTTAAACCTTCATTATTTTTAAATTACCGTGAAGATACTGAAACATTATTGTTTATATATATATATATATATATATATTATATAATATATATATATATTATATATATATATATATATATATATATATATATATATATATATATATATATATATATATATATATATATATATATATAATATATATATATATATATATATATATATTGTTGTGTGTGTGTGTGTGGTGTGTAAAAATAAGTATTAAAAACAATTTTGTAACTAAAGTTACATGAACACATACACGTGATAACTTCTATAACAACTTTTAAATTTATTTTGTTATTTTTAAATGCAACCTTTTCAATCTTCAGAAAGAGACCACGTGAAAAATACCAGTTAGTCAACATAGTCTGGATACGTTGTACTGGTAAGTGGTCTGACATCTTATAAAGCACCTTCAGTCATTTCTTAGTTGAGGTACACTGTAGTCACCCCCTCGGCCCGGCCCGTGACCAGGCTTCGTGGTGGATCAGAATCTGATCAACTAGGCTGTTACTGCTGCAGCACGTAAACCAACGTACGAACCACAGCCCAGCTGGTCAGGTACTGACTAGCCAGTAATTATAATTATAAGTATAATTTTTAGAGGGTGGAAGGGTAAGCCAGTGAAAGGCCTCGGTCAGATGGCCAAAAGTTCCAGCTGTGGGTGACCCTCGTGGGTTTAGCGCTTCTTTTGATTATATTTATCCAGCTGTGGGTCATCGTATAACTAAGATCCACGTCAGGAAACACTTGTCCTCTTTCCTGACAAACCTTACCTAACTTATCCTTTGCAGATGACACCCGAATCTGCATGACAGTGTCTTCCATTGCAGACACTGCAAGGCTCCAGGCGGACATCAACCAAATCTTTCAGTGGGCTGCAGAAAACAATATGAAGTTCAACGATGAGAAATTTCAATTACTCAGATATGGTAAACACGAGGAAATTAAATCTTCATCAGAGTACAAAACAAATTCTGGCCACAAAATAGAGCGAAACACCAACGTCAAAGACCTGGGAGTGATCATGTCGGAGGATCTCACCTTCAAGGACCATAACATTGTATCAATCGCATCTGCTAGAAAAATGACAGGATGGATAATGAGAACCTTCAAAACTAGAGATGCCAAGCCCATGATGACACTCTTCAGGTCACTTGTTCTATCTAGGCTGGAGTATTGCTGCACACTAACAGCACCTTTCAAGGCAGGTGAAATTGCTGACCTAGAAAATGTACAGAGAACCTTCACGGCGCGCATAACGGAGATAAAACACCTCAATTACTGGGAGCGCTTGAGGTTCCTAAACCTGTATTCCCTGGAACGCAGGAGGGAGAGATACATGATTATATACACCTGGAAAATCCTAGAGGGGCTAGTAATGAACTTGCACACGAAAATCACTCACAACGAAAGCAAAAGACTTGGCAGACGATGCACCATCCCCCCAATGAAAAGCAGGGGTGTCACTAGCACGTTAAGAGACCATACAATAAGTGTCAGGGGCCCGAGACTGTTCAACTGCCTCCCAGCATACATAAGGGGGATTACCAACAGACCCCTGGCAGTCTTCAAGCTGGCACTGGACAAGCACCTAATGTCGGTACCTGACCAGCCGGGCTGTGGCTCGTACGTTGGTTTGCGTGCAGCCAGCAGCAACAGCCTGGTTGATCAGGCTCTGATCCACAAGGAGGCCTGGTCACAGACCGGGCCGCGGGGGCGTTGACCCCCGGAACTCTCTCCAGGTAAACTCCAGGTAGATCTTCACTGATCAGTTGTAACTTGACTTCATACCTTTTTTTTTTATTTGGTTGAAGAGCAGCTACGTAAAGTCAGTACACGAGGTGTCAAGTAAATATTACAAGGTGTTACTTTGTTAAGATGGTAATGTATTCTTTAGTTTATAAAAGTGAATATTTTAGAATAGAAGCGCCTAAATAATTCACATTTTTTTTTTAAAACACATCACCAAAGACCCCAGTGGAAATAAGTCACTTCGACTTTTTTGGGGATTAGCCTAAGTAATTTACAATTATTTATGATAATTAAACTTATGTGACCTGTGCCTAAATAAACTTGATTAATTAATCACATGTTTACGAATTCTAAGTACTCAACATGGCCGGTCATCCGTGACGTCAGTGACAACACTATTAAAGTAGCGTTATCATTGGTTGAGAGCTGCCACTCCCACCAAACCTCATCGCTGATTGGTCCCTCTACTCTGCTATTATTTTAATTAGTATTATTATATTAAGGGGGAGGCGCTAAACCCATGGGGGTCATATAACGCATGTGGAATGAAGCAGTTAAATTTGATCCGAGGAAGGGGAGGGTAGTTCCAGCTCCTGGACCCATCAAGCATCATTCAGTAATAAAGATGGCGAGTAGGAACCCAGGCGCAGACCTTGGTAAGCAGTTAATGTTATTTAATTCCCCTTTATAAATTTACTTTTAACTGATATTTTTGACATACATCCAAAGTTGTGTGTGTAGTCACCTCAAGGAAGGTTCCTTGATGGTGGTGAGGGGCTCTTGATCTAGGGAACTGGATCTGTGCTTCAGTTCCCTGAATTAAGCCTGAATACCTTCCACATCCCCCCCACAGGTGCTGTATAATCCTACGGGTTTAGTGCTTCCCCTTTATAATGATGTGTGTGTGGTGCGTCTGCCAGATGGTCTGAAATGTATGACAAGTTGTGGAAAATGTAACCAGTGAGAGAACTGAAGGATAATTTACACTATTATTATTATTATTATAATCAAGGGGGAAGCACTAAACCCGGAGGATTATACAGCGCCTGGGGGGGGGATGTGGAAGGCATTCAGGCTTAATTCAGGGAACTGGAGCACAGATCCAATTCCCTAAATCAAGAGCCCCTCACCAACATCAAGGAACCTTCCTTGAGGGGCAATTTACACGAGAAGTAATTGTCTTCAGGTACATATAAATAGTTACATCAATTATCATACATAGCAGCACATGTGTAGAGTACAGACCAAGATAATCTTAGAAAAAGTCTAAGTGACTTATTTCCATTGGGGTTCTTGTAATATCTTATTATTTAAAACTTAAAACAGGTCAAGGCCCACAATGGAAATAAGTCACTTTGACTTTTTTTGGTTATCTTGGTGGGTAATGTACACATGCTGCTATGTATGATAATATATGTAACTGTTTATGTGTACCTGTACCTGAATAAAAACTTACTTAGTGAAAAGCACTTACAATAAAAGGAGATATTTACAACAAAAGGATAATTGTACTTATGTCTAACTGTGCCTAAATAAACTTAACTTTCTGTTCCTCTTGTGAATTCATGTTATTGCAACAATTGTTTTTACATTTATTATTATTATTATTTAATTTACAATTTGTTATACAGTGAATATACAGATTTTTTTTTATAATTGAGTTATGTGATATTTCAGACAAGCAACAATGATAAATTTTGATTAGATAACCTTAACAGTGGTAGTTAGGAACTTATTTATGACTCGTATAATTTCATTTTTTACGGCGGTTTTATATTATGTAGAAGAGAAACTAAGATACCCAGTAAAGTGTCATCAAGTGAGGTACTGGCCTTGATGTCAGGGAAGGGCTCTTCATCCAGGGAATTGGATCTATCTTTCATTTCCTTGGACCAAGATCGATTGCCTTCCATTTCCCATGTACTCACCTATATGTGATTGCAGGGGTTTAGTCACAGCTCCTGGCCCTGCCTGTTAAATGTGATTTTGTGCTTCCCATAATAATAATGATGATAATGAATTTTGTATCACTGTAAGTTTATTTAGGTGCAGTTATTATATATAGTAACATGTGTAAATTACCCACCAAGATGACCCCAAAAAAGTCAGTGACTTATTTTCATTGGGGTCCTTGTAATATGTAAGATACAGTAGAAATCAGTCATGATTATTACCATAAAAATTAAAGTAACTAAGTAACTCAACTGTGTGAAAATCAATTATAATAATAGTAATCTTAATCATAATAATCTTTATTTCTACAAGTATATGTACAACAATGAGTTACAATAAAAGGTGCAATAGGAATAAAGTGAACTGAGTTATATACCTGAACAATAATACGTACACCAGTGTTACGTACATATACAATGAATCACTCTCCTTCCTTTCTGTAGGTATCTTTTAGCTGTCTTCCTAAACTGGCTCATATGTTACTTTGTGTTTCAAAAAGTTAGCCATGATTATCATTCTTTCCAGAAAGGAACTTTTTTTATAATTTAGTAAAACATTCTTTGCATTGTGACTCAATTATTTAACATTGAACAGATTTGTCATGGGTGAACAGTGTAAGGATCAACCTGCCAGCAGTGAAGCGTCGAGCTGAGACTTTGGGCACAAAACGCACCGTAAAGAAGCAGTGGCAAGCAGCATGGTTGTTAAGAGCAGTCACCTGCATTGATCTGACCACACTCTCAGGTAGTGCATCAATCTGACCACACTCAGGTAGTGCATCAATCTAACCACACTCTTAGGTAGTGCATCAATCTAACCACACTCAGGTAGTGCATCAATCTAACCACACTCTCAGGTAGTGCATCAATCTAACCACACACTTAGGTAGTGCATCAATCTGACCACACTCAGGTAGTGCATCAATCTGACCACACTCAGGTAGTGCATCAGTCTAACCACACTCTCAGGTAGTGCATCAATCTAACCACACTCTCAGGTAGTGCATCAATCTAACCACACACTTAGGTAGTGCATCAATCTGACCACACTCAGGTAGTGCTTCAATCTGACCACACTCAGGTAGTGCATCAATCTAACCACACTCTTAGGTAGTGCATCAATCTAACCACACTCAGGTAGTGCATCAATCTGACCACACTCAGGTAGTGCATCAATCTAACCACACACTTAGGTAGTGCATCAATCTGACCACACTCAGGTAGTGCATCAATCTGACCACACTCAGGTAGTGCATCAGTCTAACCACACTCTCAGGTTGTGCATCAATCTAACCACACACTTAGGTAGTGCATCAATCTGACCACACTCAGGTAGTGCATCAATCTGACCACACTCAGGTAGTGCATCAGTCTAACCACACTCTCAGGTAGTGCATCAATCTGACCACACTCTCAGGTAGTGCATCAATCTACCCACACTCAGGTAGTACATAGATCTGACCACACTCTCAGGTGGTGCATTGATCTTGCCACATTCTCAGGTAGTACATTGATCTCACCACACACTCAGGTAGTGCATCAGTCGCACCACTCTCTTAGGTAGTGCGGTCTTGGTCGCCAGATTAAACTTGGAGCATGAGCAAGGTAACGTTTATGCAGTGACTCAGGGAAAGCAGTTAAATGAGTTTATTTAGGTATGGGTACACATAATTAAAAGTATCATACAGTGTAAATTACCTAGGATAGCCCAAACAAGTCGGGTAATTTACACTGTGTGTGATAATTATACTTGTTTACCTCTGCCTAGATAAACAGTTAGTTGAACTTGCATCCTGGAAGTGGAAAATGCAGGGCCTCCACTCTAAAGGAGGAGAGAGGATGTTGCAGTTTTGAGGATCATCAGAACTGTGAAGTAGGTGCACTTTTGGCAATGCAGCAATTGAATGAGTGATAGTGAATGCATTTCCTCATTTTTGATCTCCCTGCCTCTGTGGGAGACGGTTGGTGTGTTTAAAATAAATGCATAAATAACAAAAACAAAATTATTTCTGTACGAGTTCTTATTTTTTTCCTGAAAGGATAATTTTAATATTCAAGAAGGTCAGATAGTATTCAAATAAAATTAAAGTTTTATTCTATTTTGATAATTACTTATTTTTAATTTTCTTAACAAATTAGAGGAAAATATGCAATTGTCTAGCATTTGTGCCTATAATTCTCCTCGTACAGTGAAGGTTCGTGATCACTAATTACCTGTACAGTATTATGTTTAATTTCCAATTCTTCAGCTGATGTTCCCTCACTCAACAGGTGATGACACAAATGTCAATGTTCAACGACTGTGTCATAAAGCAGCACACCCCATCCGGGATGACATAATGAAGGCCATGGGTATGGAAGATGCTGGCATCACTTGTGGGGCTGTGTGTGTCTACCCTGCACGAGTAGCTGGTGCCATCCAAACCTTGCAGAAGATAGGAGCAGACATTCCTGTAGCGGCAGGTATGTGATTAGTCAATACTGCATCTCTTTCCTTTGTATGTGAGGATACAGTATATACAGTGGACCCCCGCATAGCGAACGCCTTGCATAGCGAACAATCCGCATAGCGAACGCTTTGTTCGCCAAAATTTTGCCCCGCATAGTGGACAAAAACCGCTCAGCGACCTTCGTCCGAGAAGCGTCCATTGTTTACCAGCCAGCCTCCGCGGTAACATTCAAGCATACACTCGGAATATTTCGTATTATTACAGTGTTTTCGGTGCTGTTTCTGGAAAATAAGTGACCATGGGCCCCAAGAAAGCTTCTAGTGCCAACCCTGTGGTAAAAAGGGTGAGAATTAGTATGGAAATTAAGAAAGATTTTGAAGGGTTTGGGGCTAACCCTGAGAAGCCTATGCCAGTTGTGGAATCCATTGTGCCTTGGGTTGAACTGCAAACCTTTATGGATGAAAATCACCCTGACACAGCTGTTGCAAGCCGTGCTGGTGACTATTTCAATGACAATGTTATGGCCCATTTTAGACAAATCGTAAAGGAACGGGAGGTACAGAGCTCTATGGACAGATTTGTTGTGCGACAGAGGTCCAGTGACTCTGAAGCTGGTCCTAGTGGCATTAAAAGAAGAAGGGAAGTAACCCCGGAAAAGGACTTGCTACCTCAAGTCCTAATGGAAGGGGATTCCCCTTCTAAACACTAACACTCTCTCTCCCCTCCTCCATCCCATCAATCATCACCAGATCTTCAATAAAAGTAAGTGTCATGTAATTGTGCATGCCTTTTTCAGTTTGTGTGTACTAAAATTAACATTTTTTTGTGGTAAAAAAAAATTTTTTTCATACTTTTGGGTGTCTTGCACGGATTAATTTTATTTCCATTATTTCTTATGGGGAAAATTAATTCGCATAGCGAACATTTCGCATAACGACCAGCCCTCTTGCACGGATTAAGTTCGCTATGCGGGGGTCCACTGTATTTGCAGAATGCAGATAAACATTTTAATTATTCACAGTGTCAAAAACCTCACAAAGATACTGATATTGCTTTATATTCAACTTTGCTTTTATGTAACATTTTAGCAGTGTTTCTTAAGACTGTTGGTTTGATTAAAGTCTTATCATGAAGGAACATATCCTAGCAATGGTAACCCTTCTGCTCATGTATGTCAGTATTTTTTTTTCTTCGTCAAACCAGCCATATCCCACCGAGGCAGGGTAACCTAAAAAGAAAAACGAAAGTTTCTCTTTTTAACTTTATTAATGTATACAGGAGAAGGAGGTACTAGCCCCTTGCTCTCGGCATTTTAGTCACCTCTAAAGACACGCATGGCTTACGGAGATAAGAGGAAATGAACAAGAACAGGAACTAGCAAGAAAATAGAAGAAAACCCAGAGGTGTGTGTGTATATAAATGCTTGTACATGCATGTGTAGTGTGACCTAAGTGTAAGTAGAAAAAGCAAGACATACCTGAAATCTTGCATGTTTGAGACAGAAAAAAGACACCAGCAATCCTACCATCATGTAAAACAATTACAATCTTTCATTTTTCACTCACTTGGCAGGATGGTTGTACCTCCCTGGGCGATTGCTGTTTACCAACCTATTACCTAGTTACGTCAGTACGTATTATTATTATAATAATAATGATGATCTGGCAAGAGCTGGCTGACTATCTTGATAGAATTAATAAACATTTATCAATTTCTCTCTTCTTTCAACACATCGGCTGTATCCCACCAAGGCGGGGTGGCCCAAAAAGGAAAAACGAAAGTTTCTTCTTTTACATTTAGTAATATATACAGGAGAAGGGGTTACTAGCCCCTTGCTCCCGGCATTTAAGTCGCCTCTTACAACACGCATGGCTTACGGAGGAAGAATTCTGCTCCACTTCCCCATGGAGATAAGAGGAAATAAAAAAGAACTAGAAAGAAAATAGAAGAAAACCCAGAGGTGTGTGTATATATATACTTGTACATGTATGTGTAGTGTGACCTAAGTGTAAGTAGAAGTAGCAAGACGTACCTGAAATCTTGCATGTTTATGAGACAGAAAAAAGACACCAGCAATCCTACCATCATGTAAAACAATTACAGGCTTTCATTGTACACTCAATTGGCAGGATGGTAGTACCTCCCTGGGTGATTGCTGTTTACCAACCTACTACCTAGTTATATCAGTACGTATTATTATTATTTTTTTTTTTTTTTTTCAACAAGTCGGCCGTCTCCCACCGAGGCAGGGTGACCCAAAAAAAAAAGAAAGAAAATCCCCAAAAAGAAAATACTTTCATCATCATTCAACACTTTCACCACACTCACACATTATCACTGCTTTTGCAGAGGTGCTCAGAATACAACAGTTTAGAAGCATATATGTATAGAGATACACAACATATCCCTCCAAACTGCCAATATCCCAAACCCCTCCTTTAAAGTGCAGGCATTGTACTTCCCATTTCCAGGACTCAAGTCCGACTATATGAAAATAACCGGTTTCCCTGAATCCCTTCACTAAATATTACCCTGCTCACACTCCAACAGATCGTCAGGTCCCAAGTATCATTCGTCTCCATTCACTCCTATCTAACACGCTCACGCACGCTTGCTGGAAGTCCAAGCCCCTCACCCACAAAACCTCCTTTACCCCCTCTTTCCAACCCTTTCGAGGACGACCCCTACCCCTCTTTCCTTCCCCTATAGATTTATATGCTTTCCATGTCATTCTACTTTGATCCATTCTCTCTATATGACCAAACCACCTCAACAACCCCTCTTCTGCCCTCTGACTAATGCTTTTATTAACTCCACACCTTCTCCTAATTTCCACACTCCGAATTTTCTGCATAATATTTACACCACACATTGCCCTTAGACAGGACATCTTATTATAATAATAATGATGATCTGGCAAGAGCTAGCTGACTATCTTGATAGGATTAATAAACATTTATCAATTATTGTATTTAATTGAAGATTTTATGGCGCTTGTTTTGAGGTACTGCAACAAGGCATGTGAAATCATTTTACCTGTTCTAACTAGGTATGGCAAATTGTGGTCTTGGCTAATATTGAAAATGCTTGTTTACAATATTAAATAAAAAATTGTTTTCACTAATTTATCCTCAAATGAGACATATTAAATGCCTCTAGATTCTTTGGTTGTGGATTATCTGGCTCAAGGATAAATGTAAGCTTAGTATGTGTTGTATGAATGATTGTTATATTTGAAAAAAGTACAAAACCCATATGCCTAGCATGGAGCAATTGTTTCAACTCTCTCCTGAAAACTTTGATGGGCTTGCAGAAACTCTATTAAGCATTTAATATTAAGCAAGCATTTTGTATTATTGTATTAGATATATTTTATTAATAAATTTGTTTATTACTGTATACAATAACGGTACACAAAACCGACAGGTAGATTAATAAGACCCATGCACAACATGTGGGTTGCACATGTGGCTTTGTCATTCTAATACATCGGTGGTATTTTTCTCTGTATTGGATTGAGTCACTGGTTAGCAAAACATATCCATTTGTTTTATTAATCAGAAGATTTACTATCATCGGAGTTCACAATTAACCCTTAAACCGTCCAAACATAGATCTACGTTCACATGGGTAGTGCTCCCAAGTAGATCTACATTTTGTTACATTTTTCAAATATAGCAAAAAAAAATGTATATCAAAGTTTTTTTTATACACTTTCAAATGTAAAAAAAAAAAAAGATCTATGTTTGTTTACATATTTTCAAATGTTGAAAAAACGTAGATCTACGTTTGGACAGTTTAAGGGTTAAATACACACTTTATGTTTAATGAGCTGACTGTTGGTATTTCTTATAAAAATTTATCAACTTTGCAGTGGCAACAGGATTTCCATCTGGACAGTACCACTTGAAGACTCGGCTTGAAGAGATCCACCTAACTGTAGCAGATGGTGCAAAAGAAATTGACATCGTTATCAATCGAGAAATGGCTTTAACGGGCAATTGGCAAGGTGAGTGAACGAGAGTTTCCCAAGGGTGAGAGTGATAGCATGTACATTTGTTAATAGAGTCCATCACGAGTTTGCATTATTGAAAAGATGTCTGTTGGTATCCATACGTGGAAATTCCTTTATTCTTCTTGTCTGTGTGTAAATGATTAATTCACTATATATTATCATTGGAAGTTGATTATTACTACCTTCACAGACAACAATGAAAGAAGTGTATTCCTCACCATCCATATCACTGGCTAATTTGCTTGCTGTACCATCAGACACACTGAAATATAAAAGCCATCCACAATACTGACTTTATTTTAGTATTTTCATTGTTTCCCACCCAAGAAATGATGATATTCCCCATTACTTATTCCTTAGCTGCCTTTCCAGAAGGACTATGACATTACAGGCCAATGTTGTCCAACCAAACATCTTGCATTCCACTTTCAGAGTGCCAGCATGGTACTTTCCAACCTCCAAAACTCAAGTAAGGATAGTTCATTTCAAAAAATTCCTCTGTAGACATTATCATGTTTGTACTTCAGCAGCATCTCAAATCCAGTAGACCACTTACCTCCACTTCCTTCAGTCTAACATGCATGTCTGTGCCACCTAGATGTCCAAGCCTCTACAGCTCTATCTTCCTCAGATTCTGATCCTTGCACAGACCCCTTGGGATCATCAGCTCTTGCCATGCTGAGATCATTTCTTTTACATTATTTGACTTTTATATTGTCTTGAGGATAGTAGTCAAGTTGCCTTATCCACTGCATTTGTTTTCACCTCTTCTGTGTTATTTGCAGTAGGGAGGCAATGAAGCATTTCTGGTTCTTGCTGATCAGTGTATTGATTGGCTAGAGGCAAATACATTCTTGTATCCTCTTTGATAGTCTGACACAAGGGAATGCATAGATGGTAAATAGGGAGGCTTGTACATACCTGTACAGTACAAGATAAGAAGGATTGTACATGCATGGATAAGGGGGGCTTGTACATGTGTGGATAAGGGGGCTCGTACATGCATGGATAAGGGGCTTGTACATGTATGGATAAGGGGGCTTGTACATGCATGGATAAGGAGGCTTGTACATGCATGGATAAGGGGGTCTAGTACATTCATAGATCAGGAAGCTAATACATGGCAATATAAACACAAATGCAGTATAATGTGATCCTTTATTGACTACGTTTCGCCCACACAGTGGGCTTTTTCAAGTCACAAACAGAACTACCTGGGGTGGAAGGAACGCGAGTATTTATAGTCCGGCTGAGGTCAAGTGAAGAATGCTGCATCTGATGATGTACCGAGTTGGGTTGTAGAGTCTAAAAACTTGGGTAGCTTGGAAAGGAGACTGGACAAGTTTGTGAGCAGACCTTCTACAGTGTTCTTATGTGGGATAGCGATGAAGAAGTTTCTTGGCAAGTGGTTCAGCTATGTTATAGAAGCCACTATTCTGGTTGAAGTTGTCGGATATAGAAATAAGTGATGACTCCAGGATTCTTCGGTATTGGGTGTTGTCTTCTGTGGCGATAAGTCTTGAGTTTCTGTAGTTTATCAAGTGGTTGTGTGAATTACGGTGTTGTACGCAGGCATTCCTTGTGTCGTCAGACCTGCTTGCGTATTGGTGTTCTGAAATACGTGTTTGGAGGTCCCTTGATGTTTCGCCCACGTATAACTTGTTGCAGTCATTACAAGGGATTATGTATAACCCTGCAGAGGATGGAGGCTTGTCCTGCCTACTACTGGTGATGTCCTTGATGGTCGTGGTTGTGGAGGTAGATACTTGGAATGATGTTTTGGCAAAGATGTTGGAAACATGTTTGGCAATGGAGTTGGTGGGAAGGACTATGTATCTCTTCTCGGCAGTGTCTTCTCTGGGTGTGTTGAAGATGTTTAGTGCTCGCCGTCTGCAGTCTCTGATGAAGTGACGAGGATAGTGGAGTTTGGAAAATACCTGTTCAATTATAGTGCATTCTTCCTCAAGGAACTCGTTGCTGCAGATTCTGAGTGCACGCAGGAAGAAGCCTATAATTACACCACGTTTGGTTTTGGTGTCGTGGTGAGAGTAGAAGTGGAGAAGATCGTTTTGGTTGGTGGGTTTTCGATAGACTTTAAAACGAAGTTCGTGGTCAGCTTTGCAGAGTAGAACATCAAGGAAAGGAAGAGTGTTGTCGACCTCTTCTTCAAGTGTGAACTGGATTGAAGGCTCGACCTGGTTGAGCTTGTCTTGGAGAGCTTGAACGTTGAAGCGTTTAGGAGTTATGAGGAGAATGTCGTCAACATAACGGAGCCAGGTGACAGACGAAGGAATAATGGTGGAGAAACGTTCGGCTTCTAGATGTTCCATGTATAGGTTCGCTAGGACTGCACTGAGTGGCGAACCCATGGGTAGTCCAAAAGTCTGCTGAAAGAGGTGATTTTCAAAAGAGAAACACGTAAAGCCAACACATAGTTCAACCAGGTCGATGAAGTCGCTGGCTGGAATGGGAAGATCAAGTGAATCGTCAATTTTCTTGCGCAAGAGATCGATGGCTTGTTTAGTAGGTACTTTAGTGAATAGGGAAGTCACGTCAAGGCTGGAAAGTTTCTTGTTCCTGATGTTGATGTTGCGAATGCGATTGAGAAGATCACCTGAGTGTTTGAGATGTGTTGGACTGATAGTGCCCAAGAGTTTCGAGAGGTGTTTGGCGAGAATTCCTGGTTGAACTATGTGTTGGCTTTACGTGTTTCTCTTTTGAAAATCACCTCTTTCAGCAGACTTTTGGACTACCCATGGGTTCGCCACTCAGTGCAGTCCTAGCGAACCTATACATGGAACATCTAGAAGCCGAACGTTTCTCCACCATTATTCCTTCGTCTGTCACCTGGCTCCGTTATGTTGACGACATTCTCCTCATAACTCCTAAACGCTTCAACGTTCAAGCTCTCCAAGACAAGCTCAACCAGGTCGAGCCTTCAATCCAGTTCACACTTGAAGAAGAGGTCGACAACACTCTTCCTTTCCTTGATGTTCTACTCTGCAAAGCTGACCACGAACTTCGTTTTAAAGTCTATCGAAAACCCACCAACCAAAACGATCTTCTCCACTTCTACTCTCACCACGACACCAAAACCAAACGTGGTGTAATTATAGGCTTCTTCCTGCGTGCACTCAGAATCTGCAGCAACGAGTTCCTTGAGGAAGAATGCACTATAATTGAACAGGTATTTTCCAAACTCCACTATCCTCGTCACTTCATCAGAGACTGCAGACGGCGAGCACTAAACATCTTCAACACACCCAGAGAAGACACTGCCGAGAAGAGATACATAGTCCTTCCCACCAACTCCATTGCCAAACATGTTTCCAACATCTTTGCCAAAACATCATTCCAAGTATCTACCTCCACAACCACGACCATCAAGGACATCACCAGTAGTAGGCAGGACAAGCCTCCATCCTCTGCAGGGGTATACATAATCCCTTGTAATGACTGCAACAAGTTATACGTGGGCGAAACATCAAGGGACCTCCAAACACGTATTTCAGAACACCAATACGCAAGCAGGTCTGACGACACAAGGAATGCCTGCGTACAACACCGTAATTCACACAACCACTTGATAAACTACAGAAACTCAAGACTTATCGCCACAGAAGACAACACCCAATACCGAAGAATCCTGGAATCATCACTTATTTCTATATCCGACAACTTCAACCAGAATAGTGGCTTCTATAACATAGCTGAACCACTTGCCAAGAAACTTCTTCATCGCTATCCCACATAAGAACACTGTAGAAGGTCTGCTCACAAACTTGTCCAGTCTCCTTTCCAAGCTACCCAAGTTTTTAGACTCTACAACCCAACTCGGTACATCATCAGATGCAGCATTCTTCACCTGACCTCAGCCGGACTATAAATACTCGCGTTCCTTCCACCCCAGGTAGTTCTGTTTGTGACTTGAAAAAGCCCACTGTGTGGGCGAAACGTAGTCAATAAAGGATCACATTATACTGCATTTGTGTTTATATTGCCATTGTGTCGGTATTTTATACCATTTATTTCCAAGCTAATACATGCATGTTCTAGTTTTGTGTTAATTATCTCAGGTGTTCTCTTTTGAAACTCTCCTGCTAATGGAACTGATAATTTAACATCATTCGCTGTGTAATAGTACAAGACACTGTACAGTAGACTGTGAACTAGAGCATAGTTGGACTATATGATAGTCTTAGCATGACTGAGAATTTGAACTGGAAAAAATATAGAGCATGAAAAGGATTAATATTAAGCTTTAGTAAGGATTAGTGTAGATGCAAGTTATTATATTGCACAGTGTGCAATGTAATAACTGCCTCACCTCCCTCCTCACCCCCATACTGCTACCATGCTGCCAGTTGCCTGGTAGATGCACCACATTTGGAAATGACCTTTGTGTTTGTTGTTTGATTTTGCATCTTTTTGTCACCCTTTCTTGTCTCTGGATATAACCATGGGCACTCAAGGGGAATATAACTGATGCTTGAGGTCCCAAGCAGATGACTAAGTATGAAGCGCTGATGGTATGTATATAAGAAAATACGTAAGAGGTTTTAGATACGCTGGCATGTGGCATATGTGTAATGAATGCTGCCCGCTCATTTGGTCTTGGATCGTCCATGTGCACCATCAGAAACAATAAGAAGAAAGTAAGAGCCTTTGTAATGACCAGTACAGAAACTGAGGTGCTGAAAACATTCCTAGAGGCCAGTACATATAAATAAAATGGAAAAATTGCTGAATGTATGGATTGAGGAGAAAAAAAAAAAGGCCCTGCTTAGTGCTCAGATAATACAGCACAAACC